GGCAGAGCACAGATAGCCCATTGTGTAGCTTTGTGCTTAATTACAAACAAATAAAACATGTATTGAAAACAAGTTTACGAACTTAAAACACCAAAATCCGGGTTTCGATACCCGTGGTGGGCAGAGCACAGATAGCCCAAATAAAACATATATTTAAAACAAGTTTACGAACTTACAACACCAAAATCCGGGTTTCCATTTCCCGCGGCAGACACGTGACTTTGCTCTAAAAAACAGTTATTGTTTGATATGATTAGGTTTAAAGAAACTGTGCAAAAAAAATATATAAATAATTAAACTGTAAACCCATGTCTCAGTGGGGTAAGAAGGTGTTTAACATTCAAGGGTGTGATGGGGGAGGAGGTCACGCTTTACAGCACACACCTATTTCCACAATGAAGACCAACTCCGCTATATCGTAGAAATAACTGCAGACTACCATACTATCTCTCTCTACCCTCCTCCTCCCGTTCTTACTTCACGGTGTCTCGAAAAAGAATTCTTAAAAATAAGAAATAAGACTTGTCTGGATTCTTAAGTGTCTCAGATCTAATCCTGGGACGTGACACTTAAGGAAAAACATAGATCTTAGAACAGTAATATTCTGGACTTTTTTTCTTCTTTGAGATTTATTTGGTTATTTTATATGTAGTTTGTAAGTCTTAAAAAACGAATGTTTTTCAGCTCAATGACATAAAAGATTTAGTTGTTCTAAACAAATTAAAAATGCAAAGTATAATTTTTCTATAAACTAATGAAACCCTACGCATGTGAACATTTACATAACTTGCAAGAAACCTCACACTTTCCAAATGGTACGTGGCGCCATCTCTCGAGAATTGAAAACAACTTACATGGATATTATTTTATTACAAGTTACAGCAATTACAGTAATGATGGATATTTTATAAACAGTAACGACGTTTCGATCATTCTCAAATACCCGAATTTTAACGGTAAAGTAATCGAAACGTCGTTTGTTTGAAAAATATTATTTCTTACTGTAAAAAGGTGCAGCATGTAATAAAATAATATTCATAACCAGTAAGTAAGCTCAGAACGAAATAATTAACATACATGAATGCTTATTATTCTAGGTAACGGTTGGCCGGTGTTAACTCCTCCTTCGATGGCAATACCGAGCAGAGGCCTAGTCTTCTTGATAATTATTCTTAACCTCCCGTTTGGTTCAGGGGTCGCGCGATGACCCTAAGAAAGAAAAATATAATAATTATTGCCCAAACTCCAATTAAATACATTATTGACCGTAACAAGTTACATTTTCTTCCTAAAACACAAAGAGTACCCTTTTATCAGCTAAACTATAGCGTTAAACTCACAAAATCGATATGATAAATATAGCGTGACTGTGTACGAATAAAAAAACTCACTCCCCCTCTCTCCTTCTAACGGTCTTCTCCTAATCATCACCTCTCTTCTTCTAACTGTCTTCTCCTGATCATAACCTCTCTTCTTCTAACTGTCTTCTCCTGATCATCACCTCTCTTCTTCTAACTGTCTTCTCCTGATCATGACCTCTCTTCTTCTAACGGTTTTCTCCTGATCATGACCTCTCTTCTTCTAACTGTCTTCTCCTGATCATGACCTCTCCTCTTTTAACGGTCTTCTCCTGATCATGACCTCTCTTCTTCTAATTGTCTTCTCCTGATCATGACCTCTCTTCTTCTAACTGTCTTCTCCTGATCATGACCTCTCTTCTTCTAACTGTCTTCTCCTGATCATGACCTCTCTTCTTCTAACTGTCTTCTCCTAATCATCACCTCTCTTCTTCTGTCTTCTCTTGATTATGACCTCTATTTTTCTAACCGACTTCTCCTGATCGTGACCTCTCTTCTTCTAACTGTCTTCTCTTGATCATGACCTCTCTTCTTCTAACTGTCTTCTCTTGATCATGACCTCTCTTCTTCTAACTGTCTTCTTTTGATCATGACCTCTCTTCTTTTAACCAACTTCTCCTGATCATGACCTATCTTCTTCTAACTATCTTCTCCTGATCATAAACTCTGTTCTTCTAACCAAACAGGTGGTTAGGGCGCTTGACTCGCAATCTGAGGGTCGCGAGTTCGAATCCCCGTCCCACCAAACATGCCCGCCCTTTCAGCCATGAGGGCGCTATAATGTGACGGTTAATCATACTATTCGTTGGTAAAAGAGTAGCCCAAGAGTTGGCAGTGGGTGGTGAGGACTTCCCTCTAGTCTTTCACTACTAAATTAGGGACGGCTAGCGCAGATAGCCCTCGTGTAGCTTTGCGTGAACTTCTAATCAAACCAAATCTTTTAACCGTTTTCTCCTGATTTATTAAAAGAGGTCTAGATGATCTGAATTAATGCGCTCTTCTTCAGTGTAATAATAAAAAAATTAATAAACCTAGAAATTATGGAATAATAAATAGGCCCTATCTATATCAGAGATAAAAAATACTATCCCTTGTGATAAAATTGTAGTGACAGTATTTCAGGCACCACATGCTTCAAGTAGACTCAGTCTTAGCTGCAGTCAAAGGATTCTGAATTAATGCGCTTTTCTTCCGTGTAATAATAAAAAAATTAATAAGCCTAGAAATTATGGAATAATAAATAGGCCCTATCTATATCAGAGATAAAAAATATTATCCCTTGTGATAAAATTGTAGTGACAGTATTTCAGGCACCACATGCTTCAAGTAGACTTCAGTCTTAGCTGCAGTCAAAGGATTCTGAATTAGAGGTGGGGGGAGGAAGATTTTAAAATAAATGGCTCAACGTTCACACGCTCTTATCTTGAACACGTTGTAAACAAAATAAAATGAAACCAATAATTTTTCAAACTTTCTTGATATGTTTAACTCTAAAATACACCACAGATATTAGAATTCTTACAATGATATTTGATTTACGTTCATTTCTTTTTTCTGAAATCTAAATGTTAAGAGGGACTTTTTTTTTTGATGGATGTTAGATGTTTCTTGGGATCGATAATTTTGATTTTTTTTTTACGTACTCATGGTAGAATTGTTTGATTTTGGACAGCGCAGATCAAACGTCAATACTAAAGCGTGCGGTTAAATCTATCTAACTGTTTATTCCAAGATGGCGAGTCCACCGAGTGTAACCATGTTGGGCAACTTAAACTGAAAGCTTCAATAGGCACCGTCATACTGATTCAGAGTCGAGGGAACTCGATAGATGGCGCTACACACGTCTAACTATATACTTAAAAAGCCAATCAACGTTCACGTTTGAACAAAATATTAAAGTTTATTCATCCTTAGTCCTCTGGTGGCTAAGCGTAAGTCTGAAGGATTATAACGCATCTAAACAACAATCTCTCACTAGATGGCGGTAAATTATACGTAATTAAAAATGTAAACACATGTGACTCTTACAGTTTTGAATACAATGAAGTTTGTCGAAAAAACTATACCAAATACACAAAATAGTACATTTTTTAGCCACTAGAGCATGCGTAGTTCAAAGTAACTTGTTTTAAGGTCCTCGATTGAAACGATCACCCTGATTGGATGTTTACATTTAGAACCACCAGTCTTCGAGAGCTAACAACGTAACAGGGGATTAACAGTGTGAAAATTCAACGACCTAAGTAAACTCCTCTTTAACTGTTAAAACAAAAGTTGTGACTGTTTTTATACATTAATGTTGTTTCTATTTTTGTAGCTACTCGACGGGAAGAAAGTATTACGGTGAAATACGTAAAACAAATAAATAAATAACGTGTCATGTGACATATAGACTGCATTCTGATAGTTTGTGTACAAAATCCGACAGTGTCTATTTTCTGTCCACTTCGAGCTCTTTCTCCCCCCCCCCCGACTGTCTCAACGGTAGTTAGTTAGTTAGTTTTAGAGCAAAGCCACATTGGGCTATCGACTGTGTCCACTGCGGGGGAATTGAACACAGGATTTGAGCGTTGTAATTTAGTAAACTTACCGCTGTCACGCCTGGGGATTCTCAGAAGTAAGTGTCACAGCTTACAGCGTTAAAATTCGAGTTTCAACACCCGCGGTGGCAAGAGCAGAGATAGCCCATTGTGTAGTTTTGTTCATTCCCAAATCGCATTTTCAAACGCCCCCCCCCCCCAAATGGCACAGCGGCATGTCTGCGACTTACAACGCTAGAAACCTGGTTTCGATACCCGTTGTTGGCAGAGCACAGATAGCCCATAGTGTAGCTTTGTGCTGAACTTCAAACAAACAAATTTATTTTCAAAATTCGCGAATCTTACCAGCATTTTTTTTTTCTTTTTCAAAAAAAACAACAACAACAAAACCCAAAAGTGAACGAGTATTCCGTAACGTATTTTGAAAGAAACTTTAAACGTCTCGCGACAGGTAAAAGTGATTCGTCTATGTCAATACAAAACTTTATAAATAGCGTCTGATGAATATCTGAAACATCCGACACGAATCTCTTAAAATAGCAAATTGATCGAATAACACAAATCACATTTGCGCATAATATTTGTCAGAGCGCCTCCTATAGAGGTTTATCTACTACAAACTTGAAGTATAAATGCTAAAAGAATCGCAGTCTTTCTGAGAAAGACAAAATCTTCATTTCTTTACAAGACCAAAACAAATAACTTCCATTTTTAGAATGACATTCACGCCATCTGTAGCTCCATGAAGCGGATACTTAAATTCTCTTGACATTTCGAAGAGAAAATACATGAAAGGGTCATTAACCGAATCACTTAAGATGGCCTTATTTATGATATTATCATTCAAAGGGGATAAAACAGATTCACCAGGATATGATACAGTTCCATGTGTAGCATGCTTGCTGGTTAAATTAATGTATCTGGAAACATCATCCCATTAAGGCCTATTCCTCTCAGAAATTTTTATATATATAAACAGTCCGGCCACTAGGGGGCGCGGGGAATAGTATTAAATTAAGAAAGAGTAGAAGAAGATTTAAAAAAATCATTTTAATGGTAGTTGTAAAGTTTTTTCTCTCTCTCTCTAGTTACAATACAAAGATAAAAACAGATCCCCGCTTAGTTTCCCGTTGTTTTAAAAAGTCCTTTGTTTCAAGCCAACTTCATCACTTTAATTTTGTTGTTGTTGTTTTAAATCCCATGTTTATCTGCGTTACCGTGTTTTATCTTTTAATTAATGTTTATCTGTGTTACTGTGTTGTATCTTTTAATTCATATTCAGCTGCGTTACTGTGTTGTATCTTTTAATTCATGTTTATCTGTGTTACCGTGTTTTATCTTTTAATTCATGTTTAGCTGTGTTATAGTGTTTTGTCTTTTAATTCATGTTTAGCTCTGTTATAGTGTTTTATCTTTTAATTCACGTTTAACTTAATTATTGTTGTGTATCTGTTAATTCATGTTTAGCTCTGTTATAGTGTTTTGTCTTTTAATTCATGTTTAGCTCTGTTATTGTGTTTTATCTTTTAATTCACGTTTAACTTAATTATTGTTGTGTATCTGTTAATTCATGTTTAGCTCTGTTATAGTGTTTTGTCTTTTAATTCATGTTTAGCTCTGTTATAGTGTTTTG